ATGCAGTGGAAGGAAGTGGAGATGGATTGGGCATACACTGAGAAGGCCGAGTGGGGACATCACGCGTCAGGCCAGGCACTCGAGTGGAACCCCTATGGAAGGCGACGAGTTGGTCGTCCGAGGGTGACATGGAGGAGATCGTGCGAGGAAGAAATGAGAGCTTCTGGGCTGCCGTGGAGCCAGGTTGAAAAGATTTCAGAGAACAGGGTGAAATGGAGACGTGCTACTGAAGCCCTATGTTCCATTAGGAACCCAAGGGACTAATAATATAATAATAAATTGTTTATCTGTTCGCCGTTTCCTACAGCATGGCTGTGAGAAATTGGATTTGAAAAAAGGATGGCATGAAGAGATATCAAAATTAGGACCGCAGGCGTCGTCGCGACATTACTAGTGTATATTGGAATCACCATGTGAGCGGTACTGAGATTAGACGAAGGGCACTGGGCAAGACAAGCAAGTCACTCTATAACGTTGTGAATCTTTGGTGACTGAGTGTATTGGACATGTGTTGCGGATGTCCAACCACAGCCTACTTCGATGTGTAGCAGAATGGGGTGTAGGCTAGAAGAAGTCCAGGGTGACCCGAACAAGAAGCGGCACCAGTTCGTGAAATCTTTGACTCAACCAGTGCGCCAGGTTGAATCTGGCCTATTGTTTAAGGCCAAGCGATGCTAGCATACCAAGTAAGAATGCGCCGAGATGAAAGATAAAGAAGTGAAAAAGAAAGCAGTCAAAGGTGCTAGTCATCAAAAAAGAACAAGCAGGGATAAGAGAATGAGAGACACAAACAAAATCAACGTAGAACCTTGCACACAAGCGCACTGGTTGAGGTTGCCTCACTCCACAGTAGCATACAAATAGCAAGTGGATACAGAAAGAGTGATACCAAAGTAGACAAATGTAAGTGCCAGGAGATAAAGGTTAGTGAAAATATCCAAGAATTGAAGACAACAGAAAGTGTACTTTACTGTGCCGTTGTGACGGATTTTCGTCATGTCGTCGACCGTCTCCAATCACCGTCCCAATTATCTCGATGACCTCAGCTATGTAGTCCACATCCACACATGACTCAAATCAGTAGTCAAAGATTTCACGAACTGGTGCCGCTTCTTATTCGGGTCACCCTGGGACTTCTTCTAGCCTACACCCAATTCTGCTACACATCGAAGTAGGCTGTGGTTGGACATGCGCAACACATGTCCAGGACAACTCAGTCACCAAAGCTTCACAACGTTATAGAGTGACTTGCTTGTCTTGCCCAGTGCCCTTCGTCTAACCTCAGTACTGCTCACATAGTGGTTTCACTGTATGCGAACAATGCTACGAAGATATGTGATCAAAAACTTGTAATTGCCTTACAACTACTTTTAATGGCCACTTCCCACAACCGTATCAGAGTGCAAAAAGAACTGCGGCTCAGTATGCTCATCTTTTAATAGGTAGTCAGATATCTCACCAGTCGGCTACGGAGATGACGCAAGTCGGAAAAAAGTCGAACGGGTCTTCCGGATTTGAGCTGAGATTTCTTCAGAAACCAGCCCATTCAAGCTGACGCAACACTCTTTAAGTGAAGCGGTCGACACATTCCACTACTTCACTTCCAACCCTCAGACTAGGAGCAGATGCACATCAGTCCTTCCTGTAGCATCATTTTACAGTCAACAGGTGTGAAAGGCATGCCAAACATATATTTCTGCCCAACGCGTTCGTTCAGAGGACCCCGCATTTTGTCAGCGTCTTCACATAACAAAGCAATATCGTCTGAGTACTCCAATGAAAGAATACTGAAATTTAGTATGAAGATAATGGGTGGACGTATTTGTGATACTGAGATCAATTCTGAGCCATATCACCTAGTCTGCAAGTACTGGTTTATGCTGTCATGAGAACCTCAACCAGGAAGTCTGCATTTCCCTACACGGCTCAGACTTGTAGTTAAAAAGTCCAGGGACTGATGCCATGTTTTGGTCTGACTACCTATAACCTTTCTCCAGCCTGAACCTACTTCAGCTGGCATTGTGCATCGGTAAACAAAGCGACATTGAAAATCGTGCTCCACTGGTTGAATGTCGAGGGCGTGGACTACAGAGCCACATCTGTAAGACTCGATCGAAAGGGGGCATATGTTCTCACCCTTCAGTGTCTTGGAAACTACACAGCAGTCGTAAGGAATCGTAAATTATGGAAAAGATTTGTAGCTCATAATAAGAATGATGGGGTTTGGCTTCCTCTCATCTTTGGTAATTTGGAAATACTTCTGCCTGCCCACATTTTCAGAATTAAGAGGTGATCTCACTGAAAATGCTGATGTCTATAAAAAACACCTCACTACTGTCACATGCCAGACCAACCAGAAGCAAATCTTCTACCTTTGAAATAGAAAATATTGACAATCACTTACATTACAACAGTAGTCGCTTCCTGTTTTAGCACCAAGTGAGCTTTCTCGAATGTTCAGACAAAGAACCAACCACAACATCAAGGTAGGAGTTGACAGCTGGATTTATTGATTAGTGAGAACAGAATAGTTCCAAGTGAAGAGTATTTTAAAGTAATTTACCAAAGAGGTGGATAATACACTGAAAAGTGATAATAACTCATTAGGTGCCCAAAGCAGTCATATGAAAATTGTGATACTTCGTTAACCCTGTAAATTTGATTTATTAAGAACTGTCCGAAAGTTGTCACGCCCAGATGGACAGTGTAGAGAGCAAACATATGCGAGTAATGAAAACGAGGAATGGCAGCTTATGACAGACTCCAGAAAAGTTAAATACAATTATGCTGAAACTATACTTCCTACGAAAATAACAAGTAACTCATTAATATTCGAGTTGCAGGTGTCACAAGGAACAACAAACACTGGAAAACACCTTATTTAATAACTGAATAAGCCACGTTCTACTCTACTTCCAAAATAGAGGCACGCTGGTTCAGGTTAAAATACTTCTGAATATAACAGAAAAGATAACGCGATAAGTAAAATATTTAGGTGAACCAGAAGGATGAAATGAGTGTGCCGAGTATACAAATACAACATCAGACTTTCTGGTACATGGAAAAACCACTTAATTCACCTTGAGCACCGTGACCGATTCAACTGCATAATCCAGTGTCTGATTATCTCTTTCTAAAACCCTCTGTCAGTTAATTAATACCGACATAGCGAAAAAATGGAAATGCCCTCAGTAATCATATGCACGTTTCTTCGATAGACAATGAACCACACGTATTGTGAGAGTTGATACCACCTGGTTGCTCAAACCTTGATTAGTGGAGCGGGTCTCGAACCCGTGACCCATCGGTTGAAAGCCAAATGCCTAAATACATGAGCTACAACTCCAAAATACAACAACATGGAACCTGTAACTACTGCGCGACGGTCTAATATGCTACACCACACATCAAGATGAAAGATAGAGAAATAGGAAAACAAAATGTAATCAGGATTCGTGGGGATTTATAAGTATAACAGAAGAGGGGGTCAAAACGAATACAAAATGCCGTGAAATGAAGATCGAGATAATATTTGACTACGCCTGCACCACTGTGATCAATGTTGAGCCATATTACAAAAGGTTTTCGATCAGCAGTTTCGGTTGTTACACAGAAACATACCAAGAAGTTAACATTTATTTACGCCACGCAGACCAACAGTCAGATATTTTATGGGCTGATGTTAGATTTGAATCTGAACCATCTCTTACTCAGTCTTATTTAGTCAACCATCACATGTTCAGGTAGAGGGTGGTTGATGCATATATAACTTAGGTCCTCATCAAAATTACTTCTTTTGCCTGACCTCTACAATACCAACGTGCTAGTTGCAAAGGTCAAAGAGCCCAAACTTATCAACGTAAATCAATAAACACTGTAAACTTGCACCTAAACTGAAGGTAAGATTTTGGAAGGAGGCAAATGTGAAAACCGTCTGTAACACCACAAGCTTTCTGAATCGTTAAACTCACTCCAGGTCGAACATGTTTAGCACAGAATATAACTATACTAGGTAGGTCTAATGATACTGTCTGACAGTAAATAAGGTTTCAAATGCAAATTTTCATCATATGCTAAGATTATTAATAACTAAACTTTGGTAAGACAATACTCAAAAAGTCGATATCCCATCTTCTAAATATATCATGTTAGTCGCAGTTTACATTCGATCAAGTGAATGCTGCAGAGCAGGATAAATAACGAATAAGATACTTTATCGCACTTGCCCACAGTAGAAGTGATGGTGCAATTCGTAAGGACTTCAGATAAGTAACCTGCGAAATCTTAGCAGGAGCATAAGGCACCTATCCTTGGAAACTGAACTGATCGGCATTAAAACGAAAACTTCACAACAGAAAACTTGATCCAACTGATCTCAATAGACTAACCATTGTAGCTTAAGTTCCTGAGAATTACTTGACCAAATCAAAATAGAACCTATCTGGTGATATAAACAAGTCAAAAACAATAGACAAGAAAAAATTAGCAAATATTTATCTTTGTCCACAAGCAACATGATATATAAGTTAAGCAGATAACTTGCTTACATAATCCATTTTTAACGGATCGATGAGAAAGCGTGTTAAAAGCAGAAGTTCAATGCATGGCGCAGGCATTACCAGTAACTTAAGAACTAGGCATACAAATCAGAACTCATTGGTGAGGACTAAGAAAGACAATACAGGATGCATTAAATGGTAAAAATCGAGAACATGTGCTACAGTGATTTTACATACATTCCAGCTGAAATAAACTTGTTCAGGGAATGAATTTCATTTGAAATAAAGTAGTAACCAGATTCACATAAACGCATTTGACATCAACTAAGTTCAATGCATATACACCTATATAAGAAAAACTGAAGTTATCAGTGCTAAAAATGGTCATATTCCACACAGCATGGAAGGTCAAATTTCAGAGATCATTGGAAATAAAAAGAAACACTTTTAAAGGTATCAAAACAATTGAGTGATCACTTCTAGAATTTTGTTGATACATACCTATTTTGCAGTCCATATGAGACAGTTAGAATCCCAAGATCCAGTTGCAACGCCTATCCCACTATCAGACAATATCACACAAGAGACTCGATTTTCATGTGCAGACATGATTCCAACACGCTCTTCTCGCAAAAGATCCCACACATGACAGTTGAAATCATCATAACCAGCAAGCAGCAAACGTCCTGATTTTGAGATCGCCACACTACTGCTACCACAGTTTATGAAGTCATCAATATAAACACCTATAGCTTGATCGGCTCGTAAATCCCACAAATGGCATGAACCATCATCTGAAGAAGAAACAAAACCATATGAATTGACAGGGAAAAAATCAACTCCATTAACATCCTGCTGGTGGCCTTCGAAGTACTGAATACCATCGGAGCATCGAAGATCCCATAACCGGCACGTGTGATCTGAAGATGCAGACACAAATACATTGGGCATTTGCTTTGAAATGGCTATGGCGTTAACATCATTAGCGTGTCCACGAAAGCTGGTAGTAATTTTTGCCTTTTCGATGTCCCATAAAGCACAAGTTTTATCACCAGAACAACTCAGTAACCGATGGTCATCGACAAAACGAACACATGCGATATAACCATTATGACCAGTTAACTCGCGAATAAATTCTGCAGTACCATCTTGTGACTTTAGACTAAAATAAGATATGGCATTGTCCAATCCACCACTAGCTACAAAGTTCATAGACGGAGCGAATGCACATCCGATAACCCATGCCGTTTTTAAGGCTATCATATGGATTTTCTTCGCAGAAAATGTATCCCAGACGATGAGTTTCCCGTCCTGAGAAGCAGAGAGCAGTAACTGGTTGTCAGAACCCCACTGAAGAGATGTTACTTTGGCTAAATGACCTCGTAAATGCTTACGTACTTTGAACTTGATCCTACCAAGTTCAGGTACATTTTCAGTCATTTTGTAGAAGTCAGTATCCGCAACAGCTTTCTGTGCATTGGTTATCGAAGTCTTAAGATTTAATATTTCTGCATCTAAAGCCTTTTCTCTCTGATATTTCTTCACTATATCCTGCAGATGCAACAGATCCTGCTCGGTTAGGGGCTTGAGAAAAATCCGAATTATATGTGATTTGCTGAGCTACATCCATCACAGCTACTTAAGGTACGGAGTATAATAGGACAGATGACCAAATACAAATCTGCAGGTCGAATGGGGATGAAGAAGCATGTTATTTATCAGAATAAGACTGATATGTTAATTGCCATCATAATTCCACAATACTACATAAGCGATGCGAAAAATAGCTAACTTGGTGCTGCAAAAGTTTGTTGGTCTGTATGTGTAACTGATAACTAGATGAATCGGAGCTTGAGAATCACGATTGTAGTTGTTACTATTGTTTTCTCTGGAAAATATGAACAGTTACTAGTGACCCAAGTAGTTAAAGGTGAATCTCAAGGATAAGGAAAACGATTACTGGGCAAAACACCAGAAATTCACTTCATTTTTCGAAAAATACGTTCAACAAGGGGATGCACAGACTGATTCAACTCAAGAAGCTTTATTACTCAAACTATTACATTTTAGCACAACTACTGAATTGAAACGATTATGCCATGTTGCTTGCATACTTCTGTAAATAAACCAAAACTGTGCTATGAATTTTCATTGATAAAACTTACCTAATAATTTTTCTACCCATTTCAACCTGTGAAATACTGTAAAAGCTTGAAGAGACTCTAGGAAGAGGTTATTAGGATTTATGCGATGACTAAACTCAGTTTAACTCACACATATCAGCTGTTGCAACATAACAACTAGCAGCTAAATAACTTTTTAAACTACTTTAGATGAGTTTAATACAGGCTGTCGTTTACAGGTCATCATTCAGTGAATTTCAAGTATTCCATTTTAGTATAATTGCTCTCATTATTCCCCCATCTTTGATTAGACAGAATTGACCGGTCTCCTTTGGTATATGGGCTCCTGTGTAGATGCCTCGATATTACCTGTGTTCTAATCATAGTAATGATGGATAATGGCTGGCAGGACATTTATTCGGTGTTGGTTCGATAGACAAAGATTCGGTTATCAGTCTCTCCCTCCACCTAACTAAATTAGTTTTCAGTACTGTCCCACCCTATTTTGTGATTGTGTGTAACTGCATGCAGAGCGATAGCTCTTGTCACAATGGAGATAAAATTAGGACTATATAAACTCCATCGCAAGTTGTGGAGTTACCTGCCGATATGAATATAGAAAACAATAAATTATGTCCGAAACGTTATCCAGTAAATGATACTGTTTCACTGTGTGGTATTTCTAATAAACACACTAAATTGGAATTACAATCTACCATAGTGCCCAAATTTTACTCCTAGATTTCTGCTTAGTTTATATTTTAAAATTAATAATCCAAAATTATGCTGGGCTAGAGTTGAAACGTTTTGTGAAACCATCAGACAACGTCGGGACTGTATGCTGTAATCTTGTTGTGATCTGAAACACGTTCATGATATGTAGGCAAATCAAAAATATTCTGAGAAAACGGTGAGTCCATTGAAAGCGTTAAATTGGTGCAATAACAGAGCTTGAACAGTATTACAAGGAAATAAAGAAAGTTATAGACTGATTGTTAACCACTGCTTTCCCTTACGATCCTGTAATTAACTTAAACCAATTCGTTTGTAGTCCCAATACACAGTGGTGATTGCAAGTCATGCCAGAATTCGAACTAGATTACTGGTCTGGAGCTCTACTAGCTGAGCTACGAGACCTTACTGTTAACCATGTAGAGAGTTGGGATGGCAATAAGGAGGCCACTGGTTTTAATCCTGTCATGACCCTGGCCCTATCTCGATTTTCTATTCAGGATTTGGCTGGGTACAGAGCAACAGGATAGTAGCAGGCGGTCCGTTGAAGTGTTCCTCTAAGTGTTTCGTCCATCATTCCTGTCATCTCCTGTGTGAATGAAGCACAGACCTACTCCTATCCGCTGTAATCTCACTGACCACTAACAGGTTCGGACCAGTTTCCTTTGTTAGTCTAAATAACTGTATACTGTCACCCATCACCTTGGCCTTTTCTTTCTTTTCAGTCTTCTTTACCCACCAATGTTCTCAGTCATCGAGCAGACTTCTTGTCCATCTACATTTGAGTTGTTTCCACTCCTCATTGTGCTCAAAAATTGCAGTAGTGCGTTCATGAGTAAGCATTAGTTCAGAAGAAGCAAGTGAGATCCCTTGATCCTTTCTAACTACTTTCTGAGAGTCGACTACGGTCCTGTACACTGTTTTTACAACAGCCTCGAGATAGAACTAGGCTTCTTTTGCATAAGTGATGTTGTTCTGTACTGATACTGATAATTGCGTGGGCAGTTTCTTGTTGAAAGTGGGTTTAGTATTCTTATCGTCAATTTAAGCTTGAAATTATCTTGTTGCTGTAGTTTTTCCCGTTCATCTGAGTGCAGACAAATACGTGCTCGAACCAGCACGTGATCTCTGTCCTGGTACGTGCTCTATAAGGAGTAGCTATCTTGAAACAACTCTTTTCAGCCATAACTGGTAGCAGTATTGTCTATCTGTATCCATCATTAAGGTAAATGGATGCTATGTCAGACAATATCTCTTCAGGTACAAAATTCAAGTTGGCCAGAAACATGTAGTTGTTTGAACTCAGCTTTAGCAGACGATCACCGTTACGTGTTCTGCTGAGGTGGGTCCAGGCTGGAAAAAGGCCCGAGGTGGCCAGACTAAAACATGGCACCAATGTATGAAGTCTCTGACTGTTGGTTTAAGCCATGTAGGACGATGCAGACTAGGTGGTTGGGGTCGGTGAGACAAGAGGAACCAGTGGTTGGAGACCCTAGGTGATATGGCTCAGAACCGAAGTCAGTGGCGCAGATGTATACACACATTATCCTCATCTTAACAACGCTATACCGAATCTCACCATTTTGTCACTCCTCTTTCCTTTCTTCTCGTACTTTATATTTCTTTTGACTGCATTCACTTATCTTCTTCTTTCACCTCACTACCTTTTTACTTGATGTGCTGATATGAGGTGTGGCAACTCGGACCGTTACGCAGTAATGCCTGGTCCTACGTTGATAATGATGATGATGATGATGAGACAGGATTCTAAAATCCCCCTTCCGTCTGACTTAGCTTGCCCGCTTGTGCATTGAAATCATATGCTACAACAACCACATCTGACTGCTTTGCCAGACAGTTCCAGTTCATCCCAGATTTAGTCAGTGGGTGCGTAAGTAGACATTAAAAAGAGTTATGGGGAGTTGTAGTACTCTTTCTAATTCTTACTACACGGTTCAGTCAAACGGCATACAGATGACTGATGATTGGGGTTTAGTCTAGTACTAAACTTTTTGGAGAGATTAGTTTACTTGACTGGAGAGCCTATGGAACACCTGCTCAAGGCTGGTAACACACGCCTTTTTTAGTGTTGGATTGAAATTTAATTGTGCTATCGCTGGACAAAAAAACCCAAACCAGAATACAACAGGACTAAGAGGAGTATGCAATTTTTGTTACTGACCTTTCAAAATCCCCTTTCTCTTATCAGTATGGCACTGTTAACCATCCATGGGAAACAACTCACTACTGTCAGATTTAGTCAAGACAACAGCAAGACTTCATTTTTAAGGCCCCCACCACGCCTTAGGAATTCAGACCACAATAGCAAGAGCTTTTCCTCTAACCATTATCCAGCTGATCTTTCCGTCATAGGAGGATCTCAAGGAGAAGCCTTCCAGGCAACATAATCCGTCAGGTCACGGTGATGTGCAAGCCCGACCATTACGTTAAAATAGCAGCTATCATCCAGAGTAGTTAGCTGGTAGACGCTGATCACGGATAAATGAACAAATGGCTCCTTCAGTAAGTTAAAACTGCTCAGAACAAGACTTTATTCGGCTTTCGTAAAAGGTTAGTAATCAAGGAGAGGAAATATCGATGTGTTCTTAACCAAAATATAGCCACTAAATGTGATGAAAAAGCAAAGTACCCCGAGACATTCACTAGGTCATACTCAAGCAAGGCTTAAGATCCTTGAAGCATCACTTCAGGACTCGATGAACCACCTCACTAATGTTCTAGTCATTTTAAAATCAGTGATATTCTAGTGTTAAGTAGGTGCATAGCAAAAGTATCAGTTTGACTAATTTATTACAGATGATTGGATAACTAGGTGAGTAAAATACAACTAAAAATCTCTCAGCAGTAATATTTCTCTCAGGAAAGCTCAGGATAAAAGTAACCGGGATTAGTAAAGAATATTTGTCGCTAAGGTTGTGAATGTTCAGACTGAACTGTTTTCTGATTTGAGTTTTTTGATTGACAAATGCTTCAGTGTCATGTTAGATATTGTCATCAGTGCGTCAGTACCTCAGTTTCTTATAGAACTCTAGCTCATAGAAGAAATCACTTTGAATAAAATAACATCTTCGCAGATTTATTACAGAAGTTTTTAATGAGTTTTTTCATGACATAATATGGGTTCATAAACATCCAGGCCATAGTTGTTACTAGTGTCCTGAAAGAAGCTGAGCGTCGAGTCAGGTTGACTCATTATATAAGTAAGTTTTAGAAAATCAAAAACAAGATTTTTTTAAAAATACGCTGGGATTATATTAAAACTCACCTATATAATAATATGGGTTTACTGGGTACAATTGCGAAATACCTCGAGGTAGAGGAAATCTTAATGCCTAAGGGTTGGTCTTTCAAGGCTGGTCAGTCTGTAACTATATGCATTTGAATTTCAGTTCCAACCATTCACTTTTCTACACTATTTTCAGCACGTCAAAGATAGTGGCAGAATATATCCTCTAGAGTAGAAAATAAACATTAATTCACAGTTTTTCTTTTGACAAAAAGAAGCAAGCTTTTTAACTGGGTAGTGATAACCTCCGCATAATAATAATAATATCTCTACTCTGA